AAATTTGATGAATTTTAAACTTTCATAGTAATTACCATGTTAATTTTTATTCGTCTCATGAGCCCAAATTTTCAACCCAAAAAATATGCTTATTAAGTGAAGGAAAACCTTTATTTATACTGATATGAGATCAATGATTTTTGTACTGATATGAGATCAATGATTTTTCCCCATCTAATTCTGTAACGCTTTCGTTGCACAAGCTTTTTTACCTATAAAGGAAAGAAACTCATCTTGATTTGAGCTTACCTCAATCTTAGTATCTCTTATGAAAGTTCCCATATCAGTGAATATTTGAATAAACTCTGATACTATATGTCATGGATCCACTTTTTCAACTCAAACAATATGCATATTAAATGAAAGAACGTCTTTATTCATAATATTAAAACTTATCTTTATCTCTTAACTAGTACTTTGTAATTTTAGTAATATCTCGTCAAATCTGGTAAATTTTGTAATAATTTTGATAATGTCACGTCAATTTTTATTCTTATTTTCACAATAAATATTTGTTCAATTGCTTACCAAAATCATATAATATATACCATTTATTATTGTAAGTAATAAATTATAATTTTAGTAATATTTCGTTAAATTCGATATATGTTGTAGCAATTTTGGTAATGCCACGTCAGTTTTTATTTTTATTTTTACAATAACTAGAAATTTTTAATCAATCACTTACAAAAATCACATAATATATCATTTATTATTATAAATAATAATTCATAATTTTATTTATAACTCGTCAAATCTGATACATTTTGTAATAATTTTGATAATATCACGTCAGTGTTAATTCTAATATTCACAATAGTAAAAATCTTTTATCAATTACTTACTAAAATTATAATAATAACTAGTTATTATTATAATTAATAATTAATAATTTTGGTAATATCGCTTCAAATCTAATAAATTCTATAATACTTTTGATAATGTCACACCAAATTTTTTATTCTTATTTTATCATTAGTCAAAAAAATTTTATTTCTTAATAGTGAAAATAATATGTTTTAAAAAAATAAAAAAATTAAATTAATACCAAACCAAGAAAGTTCAAAATAGCTATAATGGTAAATATGGTAACTAACATCAAATTACAATAAAATTTAGTGAAGAAAGCTCATTCTTTTATTAATGTGGGATTCATGACATTCTATCTCATCTAATTGTTAAACACCCTTATTGTACTACTTCTTTCACCTATAAAAAAATGAGACACACTTTGATTTGGATGTTCCTCAACTTTGATATCTCTCATAATGGTCACACATTAATGAAGATTTAGATAAGTTTTGATATCACTTATCATTAGTATCTCTCATGAGGACTCCAGATTAGTGAAAATTAGATAAGTTCTGATACCACTTATCAGTAGTATCTCTCATGAGAGTTTTACATTAGTGAAGTTTTGGATAAGTTCTAAAACCACTTACCAAAGATTAGCCCACATTTCAATTTTAAAAAACATATCTATTAAGTGAAGCAAAGTTTTTAGGTAAAAGTGCTTGTTTGGCCTTTTTTGTTTTTCTAATTTATCTATCTCTTCAAAATAAAAGCTAAACCAAATAGAATTTTCAGAAGTTCTTTAAAAAAAAAAAACTCTTTTTTAAAAAACAAAATCTAAAAAAAAAAATTTTAGGAAAAGCTCTATAAATGAACTTTCTTTTCTCTCCTTTTGAAACCACGTCAGCGTTTTAGAAATTTTTTTTATATTTCAAAAATGTCCTCAACTATTAAAAAAAAATTTCAACATTACCCTCTAAAAAAATATCCCCTCTCAATCGATCTCTCTCTCCTCTCAATCTCTTTGCAAATCACCTCTTTCCAATGCAAATCGCAATCTCCCTCTCCTTCACCTCGCTCTACAAAGACTACTAAAAAAATAAAAAATAAAAGACCTAGTAACAGAAAAACTAAAATATAATGCAAAGTGAAATTTAGTCACTACCAAAATCTTACTTTAAGTTTGTACGGATGTGATTAGTAAGTGTGAAAAACTAAAAATTTCATTCAAAACTAAAAAATGAGAAGTTATAGTAGAGGAATTTAATACTCATATTAATAAAAACTATTTTAAAAAATAATTAAAAAATAGACTGGATAGTCTCAAGAATGGATGGACTTTATGAAAACAATTGAATCCCAAAAAAACAAAGTTGGGTTAAAACCATGAGATGGGAACTATTAAAGCTAATGCCGCATTGTGGGAAGCCAAAATAAAAGTAAGTATTTTAAATTTTATATGTTTTAATTATTGTAAATTATTTTACATATACTCGTCATTTAAAAGTTTCTTTTTCTTTGATATTTGTGTAGACTAATCTAATTGGAAAATCAAGAGAGACTATAAGTAGAAAGTTCGATGAAATGTTAGATAGTTATGTTTATTGGCCAATGAAATTGTCAGGGCTCTAAATTTTTAATTTGCAGAAGTTCTATCCAAAATTAAAAATGGTCGTAGATATTGATCTTATTTTCAAAGATGCATTAGTGCTACAGATGGATCATATGTTCCTGTTATTCTTGTTGCAAATGGTTAAATTCATTTTATTAGCCGAAAAGCATAGCCAACACACAATGTCATGTTAGTGTGTGACTTTGATATGTTTTTTTACTGTTGTGGCTGTTGGTTGGTTTGGCACTACATATGACACCCGTATCTTTTGAATTATGCTTGAAGAAATGAAAAATGTATTCCCTCACCCTTCGAAAACTACAACTTATAATTTTTATGATATAAAGTTTACCATTTTATATATTTATCTCTTGAAGTTTTCTAATGAGTTAATACTGAAATCTTTAACTTTTTTCTTAAGTAAATATTATATAATGAACGTTGGTTATCCTATTATGAAAAAGTATCTAGCATTCTATAAAGGAGAAAAATATTACACTCTTGATTTTAGAGGTTGTAGTCTGCTAGAAGGTTTAGAAAAAACATTCAACTATAGACATTATACATTAAGAAACATCATTGAATGAACAATTAGAATTTGGAAGAACATGTGACATACTTTACATGATATGAAGCCATTTTCGTTGATAAAATAGGAACAGATTATCATTGCAACAATGATACTTCATAACTATATTAAATAGTATGGTGTTATAGATAAAGAGTTTGGTATATGTAATCGAAATCCCAATTATATTCCTAAGAGTCAAAAAGAAAGAAGTGATGATAAAGAAATGGATTCATGTAATTATAGAAAAGTATTGGATGATAGTTACATGACTAGAGTTCGCAATCAAAAAGTTGCTGCATTGATGGAAAATAGAAATCATTTATTTATAAGTTATTTATGAAGTATGTGTTACTTATAAATTATCTGTGAAACTCTTTTTTTTATAATTTATTATTAATTATAAACTTTATATTATATAAAAATATTTTTTATATTTTCAAAATTTTATTTTAAATAGATAAAAACTGAAATTAACTTTTTTCCTTTGTGAATAAAAGAATTTGTGATTAATAGAAAGTTATTTATTAAATATTTTTTATGATAATTTTAATCAAAATTAAAGCTTATATAAATGTTTTGCCAAACAACTTATCTATAAAAAAGAGTTTGTAAAAATAAATTTATCAAATAGTTTTAACTTAATTTTAATAATAGTTTTTAAGCTAAAAAAAATAAGACTCTAAGCCAAACACCAATCTTTTCACATAATAGTTTCACATTAGTATAAATTTAAGTAGACTCCAATGCCACTTATCACAAACAGTCTCACGTTAGTAAAGACTTATGTAAGCTCTGATACCACTTATTATAAGTTCACATTTTGTGAATGAAAGTGTCACGAATCCATGTTTTTAATTCAAAAGAAATGCCCGATAGGAGATGGAGTACCTATGTTTATACATCTAAGACCAATCATATCTCATTAGTGAAGATTCAAGTAGGCTTTGATACCATTTATTATAAGCTCACATTTTATGAATAAAGGTGTCACAATTCACTTTTTTAACTCCAAAGAAATGCTTGATAAATGATAGAATACTTATGTTTATATACCAAATACCCATTATATCTCATTAGTGAAAATTTAGGTAAGCTTTGATGCCATTTGTCATATATAGTCCCACATTAGTTAAGATTTAGGTGAGTTCTAATACCATTTATTACAAGTTCACATTTTATGAAAGAAGGTATCATGAATCCACCTTTTTAACTCAAAAGTAATGCTTGATAGATGATGGAAGGCCTATGTTTATATATCTAAGACCATCGTATCTCTTACTGATATAGGATCTGTGACATTTCACCTCACCTATTGTGCAATGCCCTCGTTACATTAGCTCTTTACCTACAGAAGGATTCTTCTAAGTGATGAAAGGTCTATGTTTATATACCCAAAACTCACTCCATCTCTTACCGATATGAGATTCGTGACAGAAGTCCTTACTTATAAGACAACACTCATTCTATCTCTTACTGATATAAGATCCGTAAAATTTTCCACGTAATTATGTAATACTCTTATTGCATTTGCTTTTTTTCATCTTTTGAGGAATAATTTATAATTTTGGTAATATTAAGTAAAATTTGGTAAATATTGTAATAATTTTGGTAATACCATGTCAGTTTTTATTATTATAAGTAATAATTTGTAATTATGGTAATATCTCAAAAAATTTGCTAAATGTCCTAATAATTTTGCTAATGCCAAGTCAATTTTTATTATTGTAAATATTAATTTATAATTTTGGTGATATTTTGTAAAATCTGATAAATGTTGTAATAATTTTAATACTATCACGTCAGTTTTTAACATTATAAGTAATAATTTATAATTTTGATCATATTCCGTAAAATCTGGTTAATATTGTGATTATTTTGGTAACCATCATCAAATCACACCAAAACTTAGGTGCCTGAAATAATATAAATAGCAGGTGCCAGAACGTGAACAAGGCGAGAGAGACTGGTCAGCGTTTTATTCTCCTGTGTATCTTATCTCTGTCAGTTTGTCTGAAAAGAACATCAATGGAGTCGAAGCTACTTGGGCAATCATTTGCTTCCATTCTGAACCAGAATGCTGCGAAATTTGCAACACCCAAATCTCCTTTCACACAGAGAACAACTCTCAAAGTTGTGGGTTCGAACTTTGGTGCCAATGTGTCTCCCTCTCTGCGAGTTTCCTCACCTTCGTCAGCCATAAGGTGAGATGAAATGTTGTTCTTTTCTTTTCTGTCCTTGTTGGGTACTTAGTTTTCCTTCCTGGTTTATGATTTTGTTCATTCATTATGGGATTTCTTGAGTACTTCAGCAAATGAAAAGTGGTGAAAAGAGGTCCTTTTTCAAAGTTTTTCTCAGTCGGGAAGACAAAAAGGAGGAAGTGAAGGGAAAAAATGTTTAATCCAATGGTTATTTTATACAAAAGAAAGCTAGTTTTGAAACAGACCATTAGATCAAAATATTTTCCATCTCTTCCCCTGTGATGCATACCTGTAACGCATAAAAAAGATATCGACTTGTTTCTGACAGTTGCCGGTATTCTCGTCGTACATGTTTTCAAAGAAGCAAAGGATGGATGAGAGCGAGACCCTGACCCTCAAGAATATATTTCCATTCAAGAGTGAAACCCTTTACTCATTGACAGATATTGTCACTTTGATTAGCAGTTATCACATATTTCCATTCATAGCTTTTGCCATATCCATTAACCATTGGGCATTTCTTCTGATTAATACTAGGTTTTGCATCCCTGTGCTGATTCAATTAATATAAACGATATGATTTTGACTGTGTATTTCGGAGATATTCTACCAAGATTGGTGCGAATGGGAGATGATGGTAACTATGGGTCTAGTGCTGTTTGCGATACAATTTGCTTGCAGGTGTGCCTTTAAGCTGGCTTTTAGTTTTCAATTTTCATCATAAGTTTTGCATTATTCTATTTTATATGCCAATTTTAGTTAAATAAACATAATAGTCTATTATTCAATTGACATAACCCACCATGGTTGCTTGTTCAATTGCCCTCCATTGGCATATCAATCCCCACAATGAAAAATGATCCTAGGAATTGCCTCCCAGATTGATTGTTGCTGGAAGCATGCATGGCAGTGTAAACCGTCAGGATGCCCTGTGGCCCTGACCAGTCTACTGCCATCCCTAAGCTTATTGATATCGATTTCCACATGAAAGTTTCCTTGCTGAAAACCTTGGTTATTTTTCCTACTTTTTAACTTGGTTTGCAGGCACTTTCAAAAAGAATTCAGTATGGTAAGTTTGTAGCAGAGGCGAAATTTCGAGAATCCCCTACAGCTTTTGAGGCTGCCATCAGAGCACAAGTAAAGTGCCTTTCACATTTGTTCCAAGTCATCCTTTTTGTTTGGGCTACTTCATACTTGCAACTGAGTTAACAAATGTCCATCCTTTCCTTTCCTTTCCTTTCCTTTCCTTCCCTCCTATCTTGGGAATTTGCATCTAGCAGGACAGCTCTCGTTTGACGGAGTTGCTGACATATGTAACTGTGGAAGCAGCAGTGAAGAAGAGAGTGGCAATGAAAACCAAAGCGTATGCTCAAGAGCTAAACCAGACTGATGATACAGCAGATGCAGATCCTGTATACAAAATCCAGCCATATCTGGTTGGCTATCTCTATGACAATTGGATCATGCCCTTAACAAAGAAAGTTCAGGTTGAATACCTGTTGAGGAGGCTGGACTGACCAACAAGGGAGAAGAAACCACATCCTTTTGTGAACATCAATATCTTTTATCAGGTTAAATCACAGCGTTTTCGAGTTTCATAGCACAGCTTTCTCAGCAAATCTCCATTAGTTATTTTCTTCATAAGAAACGAAAAGGTTTTCAAATCAGAGAACCTCTTCCCTTCTACAGCACACCATTAGGCAGCGACTGCCAGCTGCAAGCCAGAGTTGCATCCACATTCAGTTCAGAAAAGGCAGCATCTCTACAGTATATTTTCATTTCAGTTTATATTTACAATATTGAAAACTTTGTTAAATGGATGTCATTTTCAACTTTTGAGCTGGAAATTGAATAAAACTTGATCCCCACCATGTGAGATTGCTTCTTTAGTCATCACATCATCACATTACAATATTAGAGCATAATCATTAAGTATTTTTGCACATAAATGGATTAAAATTAGAAGACTTCATCAATCTTCTATCAATTACCTTATCATCTTTGTTCCTTTTCTTGACATAGCTGCCTCAAGTATAACTTTTTTTTGTCTACTGTTTGCATAGTTTTGTCCTTTTTGTCTCGGATCTAGATGTCAATGAACAAGACACTTATTATGTTTAAAACATTTTAACCCGACTTTTATTATTTAATAGAATATTCAAATTTTATAAATATCGGATAAACTTAGCTCCAAAGTAAAGATTTTATTAGATACTACTAGACATTTAATTTAATTAATCCGTAATTATTATTTTTATGGATAAAAAAGGAAATAAAAGAATTTTAAAACTTGGATTAAAGCCATTTGGGGATAAACAGAGTCCACACTCAAATTACGTACGAAGAGCGGAAAATCTGGAAAATGACAACAGATTCGCAGCCTCAATGTCATTTTCAAATTTACAGAAACACCCTTCAAAAAGGGTTAAATTCTGGAGAAACCCACCAAAGAGGCAAAGACAGCCGCTTTTTTTATTCGTCTTCACTGTACAGCTAAGAGCTAGATGTTTGTTTTGAGCCTTTTTGGGATTTGTCTTTTGCTTTGTGCTTAACTCTTGAACTCACTCAAAAGAGGAAAGGTTTGCTCTTTCTTGAGAGAGAGGGAGACAGAGACATAGAGAGGAAATGGAGAAAGCATTGACGAAAGTTGGAAGCTTGAAAGTTGGTGGGTTATGGATCTCGAAGAAAGCTAAGGAGGAGTTCTCTAACATTACTGAAGACCTCTCTGTAAGTGAAGTTTTTCTTTTTGTTTATGTTCATCTCTTCTTTTTTCTTGGTTTTCTTTTTGGTTTTTGGTTTTTCCCTTAGTCTTATGTTAGCGTTTTTGCTTCATGGCTATGTAATGTGGGTTGATATAAGGATACTCTTTTGATAGTTTTGTGTCGGCGGTATGGAATTGCTGGTGAAATGTAAGATCTGTTGGGGGTTTTTCTAAGGAAAAATAGTGACTTGAGTGATGGGGTTATGAAATTGAATGAAAACAGATTGAGAAAATGGATTACTGAGATGAAAATGTTTGATCATTGCTACATTTTGGTTTGCTATTTCTCTGTTACAAATTTATGTTTTGGACATACATTTCTTCATGTCAGATGATAAGGATTGCATTTTGTCTTGGCAGTGATTCTTTTTTTAGGGTATTGTCTTGGAAGTGATTTGATTTTGCATAATTTGATATAATTTGGGGCAATGAGAGTTTTGGTCTTGGAGTGGGATTTCACTCATATCACTTTTCCCATAAGTTTATTTGTTACATGTGGAATCATTGCAAACTGACTGTAGATCTCTAGCACGAGATTCTTTTCATTAATGAATATTGTTTAAACATTTCACTTTCCTAAATGGTTTATTCCTAGTTATCGAGTACCCGAACAGCTGCTTATGTTAAAATTAGTGTATCTTATCAGTATATAGTTGCGAAAAGGCATCACTGGTTTGAGCTTTAGAAGATTCATTAAAGTTTTTAAGCACCATATATTTGTCAAATGAATGAAATTGAAAATTTTGAGTGGGAAGGGACTTTAAAATCATTTTTTATCTGTTTGTGTGATCCTCTGATGTCTCGAGAAAAGAAGGGCTAGTACTAACACCAACTTTGAATCATGCTTGCCAGTGGCATTATGTTTATAAAGTTGATGCTTCTTTAACCTTCTCCGAAATGTGGCTTACCAATGCAGACTTTCTCAAACACTGTTGAAGAGAAGGCAAAATGGATTTTCAACAAACTGAAAGGTACAGAACTATACATGCTTACTCGTGTTCACTTGTGTGTGTGTTAGTGTGGCAAAGCATAGACAGGGTAGAAAGTTATCATATATTTGCAAGTCAAGAGAAGTGGCAGCACCTAATTATTTGTACTCTTGAAATGCTTTGCATAGTCTAATTGGTAGGCGTACCTTCCTCCATAAAAAGAGGTCCCAAACTCAAATCCTTCTCGCCAATTCAACTATTAGAAGGGGAAAAATAAAGAGCTTTGCCATCAACTGTTACTATATCTTGAAAATTTCATTTCCTACCCCTTGCCTGAACATTGACATTAGTCAATGAAGGTAAATATCATCAATCTCTGAATGAGGAATACAAACTAGAAATCTAGTGTCACAGTCAACTATCACGTAGTTGCGTTATAATTGACCACCCTGTTTGAATGTAGGAATATATTTTCACTAATGTGATGTTCAATCTGTGATTAATCTCCTCCTCTGGCATGCCTCAGCTTCTTGTTCTTCCAAATTAAGAGTAATTGTAGGTGTGGTCTCTCTTTTGCATGTGTTATTGATTTAATCTTTCTTTTGAGAATAATGTTATGCATGACTTGGTAGTGCTTGCTTTCTCGAATACAATGACAAAGCAATAAAGTAACTTCTTGTAGATTTTTCCATCAAATGATGCTTTTACATCTGGGGCAAATCTGTTCTTTTCCAAAGAATTGTTAGTTGTTTGTATTCTATTAGCTTTTACCTCTATGGTTTTGTTCCTTCTGCAGGAAAGCCACTGAAAAGCTTGCCGGATCTCCTCCGAGAGTACAATTTACCACCAGGGCTCTTTCCCCAGAATGTTGTCTGTTATGAATTTGATGAATCAAAGGCCAAGCTGATTGTCTACTTGTCCTCTCCATGTGAGGTCAGCTTCAAGGATTCCTCTGTTATAAGGTATGCAACCCGAGTTAAAGGAATTCTCCTTAGGGGAAAGCTCACAGTTATCGAGGGAATGAAGACAAAGGTCCTAGTTTGGGTTAAGGTTACAAGTGTGGCAGTCGAAAGCTGCAAGTCCGACAAGGTATGGTTTACTGCAGGAGTTAAGAAGTCAAGACCAAAGGATGCTTATGAAACACCCCGGGATGCTGTCCGAGTTGAAGAATTTTGAGTACAGAATATGCATCACTGTTATTTTGCTAGGATAGAGAGCATAACTACTGCTAGTTATTTTATATAATAACATATTTTTCCCCGTTATTTAACAAGATAAATCGCATTACTACTCAGAAATCAAATCACCTCTTGGAGAGCTTATTTGTAGACCTTGATGGCAGAATGCATCTTAGACTCAATATTCTTCACCCTTTGTTAGTAGTGAGCATTGGCTGAATTGTTGAACTCCAACTGTATTATCTAATGCTTCCAATACTCTTGCCTTGCTGCTTCGCATTTCATTGCAAAAGTGTGATCCCTATAAATTGTTTTTTCTGGCTCTGAAATATATGGCAATGCTACCAATTTTCAATTATGATCTTTAGAGGACTTAAATTGGTGAATGGGAAATTCAGGAGATTCTCTCTCGGTCATGCTACTTGCTTCATCATTTTTGTCTCGATCAACTCATAAAAAGATATTACAATAAATTAATATCATATCAAGTGAGACAAAAGTGTCGAGAAGATGAATA